ATCTTGCTTCCTTGCAATATGGCATTACTCTTGTTTCCTAATTGTGTGACTGACTTACTGCTTTCTAGGTTTGCACAGAGCCAAAAGTCAAATTAGAGATATCCCCTGAAATAGAGTTTTCCTTTAAAGAGCAACATCTGGCCCATTTGAATTAAGACCAGGTTGATTTATTTTTTGTTTGCTGCATTATTAATTACTGCATCCTAAGGAATGTCTACTCATAACCATTTAAAAGAGAACTGTGGGATAAGTGTTTTCCCCATAGTTCTCCTAAGTAGACATGTGCACTGCCAAAAAATTCGTTTAGTTTCGTTTCGTTTTAAATTCGGATCTGTGTTATTTCGTTTTTTGGGATTCGGGTGTGAAAGTCAATTCGGATTCGGAATTCGGACGAAATTCGGTAGCGGTAGTTCGTACGTTCGTTTCCTGTTATTATTCGTTTCTTATTCGTTTCGTTCGTTCGCAGCAAAGTGACATTTGAGGGGGAAAAAATATTTTTCTCCTTCTCTAATGTCCCTTTGTTCCAACGAACGAAACGAATAAGAAACGAATAATAACAGGAAACGAACGTACGAACTACCGCTACCGAATTTCGGAAATGGAAATTCGGATTCGTTTGCATTCGTTATGTCTGTAATTCGGAATTCGGATACATCCGAATGTCCGAAAATTCGTCCGAATTTCGATTCGGAACGAATCGCACATGTCTACTCCTAAGGGTCACGGGAGGTAATAAACTAGCGTCCTCCTGTGACCCAAAGCTCAGTATATTGCGAGCTACAGCTTGCGGTATACTGAGACCGCCACAGCTGGGACGGATCCCGACATTACTGTCGAGATCCACCCAGCTGTGTGGGTGACAGCTGGCTCTGCCTATCTAGAGGCAGAGCTCGCTGTACTAGCCTCCTCCCCCGTCATCGCTGGAGGATCGGAGCAGGGAGGGGGGGAATCCCTGCAGGAAGCCGTGACTGACCGTCACGGCTCTCTGCAGGGACATGATCGAGAAGCGAGCAACGGTATGTGTTCGCTCACTTCCCGATCTATTGAGCCGACGTGTGACAGTTTCATTGTCACACATCGGTTTGAACTGTGAGGATGAGTGATGTTCAGTCACCTCATAGTTCTCCTTTAAGTAAGTTAGAAGCTTTATCAGTTAAACCATTTTCTACACTGCTCAAGTGCTCAGGTTTTTCTCTATTCTTTTTCGTTTATACTTCCTATAAGCTAGCAATATATGGCTAGATTTCTCTCCCTCAGCCCCTCACGCTTATTACGAGAAATCACCTGATTTAAGCTGCGTGAATGGCGGAATCTCCCCAGCTGGCTATTGTATTCCACAGATGTCTAAATATCCGAACAGTGAGATGCAGTCACTGTTTGGTCGTCAATTTTCCACCCAGCTCCTGTAATTTTTCAATCAATTTTATTATATTACTGCATATTACTTGTTATTGTTACTGTATGTGAAGGGTCATTCTTTTTAAGTGTTTGCACAATAACACAGTTCAATTAAATCATAGTTAAATTATTTTATCGAAGTTAGTAAAGTACAAATGGGATACTAATTGAATACTAGACTTTGCGTTGAAAGGGTAACTGAACTGAGAAATTACTGCCCCCTATATGTGCCCACTTGTCTCTGTGCTTATAGACATGCTTACCAAATTGCCTCCATCTTGTATAGACCAGAAGGCATTTTGCACCTGCACAAGTTTCTAGTATAGGGCACAGTAACCCATTGATGTCAGCTCCAGACACTACTGGGTCAGACAACAGCAGTGGAAACAGGAAGAGGGAGCAATTTTCAGCACATCTTTAGGCATTTATTACAAAAGGAGTTAAGAAGGCATATTGGAGGCGGTACTTATCATTTCAATTACCCTTTCATATGTTCTTATCTGCACTGTTTTACTGAATAGATTTGATGGTTTTCTGTGCAGACATGCTCTTTGACTACACTTCCAAACAGGATAGTATTTGTGATCAAATGAGCAAACTCTTTGCAGATCATTCAATAGACACTGATTAATGTGTTGCTGTTATGGCCAAATGAACTTCAGAATTGTTCCCCAGTAACCAAAAAAAAGCAAAAAAATAATTCAACTATTTTGGATTTCACTGTACAAAACCCAATATAAAACCTATTTATCCTACAGTTTTAGCTATATTATAGCAATAACACCGGATGTGGGTTTTTAGAGGTATGAAATAGTATTGCATATGGGTGTGCATGTGTGTGTGTTTAAAAACAAATGGGAGTAAATTGCTGCAAATGGAGAGAAGATCAGATATACTGAAAAGTGTTTGCACAATGTTTATAAATGCAAGAATAAATATGCAAGGTACTACTGACTTTATCTAGTATACATACTTGTTCTTATTGCCTTTGTGTATTTTCTCTTTGAAAGTTGCACCAGTTGTTTGGTATAGCCAGTATACCAAAATTACCTAAATGACTACAGAAGCACTTCACAGGGATGAATTCAGGTGGACTTCTTTAGGACAATGAAACCTGCTACACATTTACTGTGTGAAGCTCATAATTCGCATTCCACATTATACCTTGATACACATGCCTTAAAGTGAGAAGTAAGAGTTCAGTATTTACTTAACACTTTGTTTTGTTTTACCAACTTTAAAACAGCCAGCTGCTAAATGGTCTAGCACAGAAAAGGTTAAATTGTTTGTCGGTGGTGCCACCATATTTGGGGGACAAATATATTGCCAGTTTCACATTCTGCTTTAATGGCTTCATAGATGTAAAGGCTATGAAGTTGGGGTAAAGTTGATGAGAGCTTCATTTCTAAGGTGGCTTCAGTAATTTGGCACATAAATTCAGAGTCTGTCATCTCATGACTCAAGGAATTGGCACATAATAAAATCTTCTTAACTCCAGGACCAAGCTCTGTCAATTGGCACATGAAGAAAAAAATAAAAATGAGCCAGGGATCTTGAAGAACTATGATCCAAAAGCTCTGGGAAATGGCACAGGGATACAGAGCCTTCAAACCCATAAAATAGGTGTCTTGTGGCAAGACACGCAGCCATCTCCCTCTGTGTAACTACAAATTCATTGAAAAGTCTATTGAAAAAAAATCAACCACATATTTACAAAAAAAAAGAAAAATTAACAGTGGGCGGTAGGACCCCATCCTGTTTTTCTGATGACTGAAGCGGCACCCTGATTTCTCTCCCTTCACATTCACTGTGATGGAAGGACTAATTGGAGGCTAGGATGGCGCTTCCCATTATCTCCAGCTATAACCATGTGCCACCTAGGAGAAATTAAGATTAATGCCCTTATGGTCATAGCTCTTGTGCTAGGATACTGCCCTCAGTCACCACACCAACCATACCATGTGCTCTCTACACTTTTTAAGTCATCTTTCCATTGTCCATCCAATAATGTGTTATCTGCTTCAGTAAACGTTAATGGAAATACATATATGTGAACATTATATTATAGGTTGAGTTGCAGAGCTTGTTACAGTTAGCCCTCAGAAAAACGGATCATATAACTATGATCAACCATTATGTGCTTAATGGAAAGAGCGTTTTTCACAATTGGTTGGTGTTTTCATTGTAACAATGGTCAGAAAATGGTTATGTACAGTATTTGTCCATTTAATACTTCCATTTTATAATTTCAAAATGTTTAATTGCAGCCATTAGACGCCTGGGATTGAAGTGGTAAAATTCACTCACTTGTGATATATGGCATTTCATATGATGCTGTTTATGGTGTTTGGAAACAGGCTGTGGGAAATAATGAACCTAGATTCCTAAAAATGCCTTCACTATGAAGGACAACCATAATTCCTAAACCCAGACTGGTACTATCTGTTTCTGAAAAGACAGTGCCATACTAGGAAGCCCTTGGATGCAGATGTGATTCATATAGCCTATTGTCCTGATAATTCTATATCTGTGTCTAATTTTAAACAGTCTTTTATGGCTGAGATCATAGAACTAATGAACTGCAGAACAGCAGAATTACAAGTCTTGCACAGCCAACTAAATATAAAAAATATAAAAACCTTTATAAGATTTCACTGCTGGATTTCTGAGTTTACTATTCTACAAATTAATGGAAAGCAAATAAATTCAAATCCTGCTTATAGATTACAATTGTTTGGGCATTAAAAGTAGCTGTAAATATTATAGTGATGTTCCTGAGCAGCAAAAAAAATTCAGTTCATTAAAGAACCAACAGATTTTTGGTAAAAATTAAATATGTATTTTTACCTTTGTGTATTTGCAAAGTAAGTATCTGCAGGGTATGGCATCTCAAATGATTAGATCTGAATGCATATAAACAGAATATTGTCGTTTTAAAACAAATAAATGATTGGAAGAAATGAGTTAATGAAGGATGGACAAGTGGAGTTATCTCACTTTAGGATTCATGTAGTCATACATTTCCAGCCACATGTGTATTCAGACATTCTCAACACAACAAACATTATCACTTAAATCAGGGCAGATCCCAGTTATCATTTGCTCATCTGTATGGAATCCCCAGGTTCCATTCCTGCATTAAGAGGACTTTGGAAGCTTTCCATAGTGTAAGCAGTACCCTCTTTCATTCTAAAACTTCCCCTGCACCAACTTTCCTTTATTCTTTTTCAAGTTACCCTTCTGATTCTTTTCCCAGCTCTTCAATAATTGGTTTAGGAAGAAAATTCAAGAACGTCTGTACATATTAATTTATCCTCCCTTCTTTACAGGGCTCAGCCCAAGTCTCAGGTAAATTAAGACAAACAATACCCCCCTATCCCTCTTTATTGACAGCTTGGTGCTTCTTCAGACTATGATATGAACTCCTTATGAATAGAAATACGAGATGGCCCCAGGAAGAGAAGAAAAAAATAAAAATAAAAAGGCTGCATTTCATCCCATACCAACAGCATTCAAGAACACATGTGTCCTGCTTCACTGTAAGAGAATAACATTTGGGAACTGGGAAACACAGAATTTAGGTCCCAGCCCAAATCCCCCTCTCAGACGTCTGACTCAATGCTGGATAACTTCTCGTACACATGGCCATTGGTAGAGTTGTTGAAAGATCTGGGGTTCTTATTGTTTGAAACGCAGGCATTGGATTGATTTCCTATACAAATGTCTTTTTGGAAACGTCCTGTGGGACCCGCATTTAAAGCAGTGAGTGATTTACCAGTCCCTCGGAAGTCCGATCTTCCCTTCAAGCCACCAATAGCTGGTTGCCTAAAATAGTAGGGCTTGCTCCCATGCAACAGGCATTGATCATCCCCAAAAGTTGGAATAAATGGGTTTTGGGTGACTCGGTCAGGGTAAAGGGAACGGCTGAGCATGTGCCCCCCTGGATTATGGCCTGGGCCATGGGACTTGCTTGCAAAGGATGACTCATTAGGCATTTCAAACATATGAGCATATGGGCTGCCATCCAGGAAGCGCTCTTTATCTTTCAAGCTGACACTGCGTGGAGCTAAGGTCACATCTTCTTTTTGAAGGTCCACAAAAGTGTCGTAGGAATGCTGGCGATGGAGCTTGCTTCGGTTTCGCTTTTGGGCTTTGCCATTTGATGGGCTTTGTGGATATTTGGAGTTGGCAGGTGGAATTGGCCGTGCATCCAAGTCTTGGAGTGAGTTGTCCTCACTGATGTCATAAAGATTTCCTGCTTTCTTGCAGACTTCACAGCGGATACAGGCTTGGCGGTTGGTATTCTGTCCTGTGTAATTGTGCACCTTTGAAGGACAGTTACGACAGAAGTTAGCCGCAGTTCTGTCTTCCCACTCCACGTTAGAAAGATTTTTCTCCCAAGCATTTCCTCCGGTGCCATGTTTTCTTTCATTCTGCCCATACTCACCGGTATGTTTCTGATGTTGCCTATTAGAGCAAGAACTCTCATGTTTAAACTCCTCTCCTCTTTCTTTGTACATATCTGTCAGGTCTACATGTTCCCAGTGAGGGTTGTTTTCCTTCGTCCGGAACTGATCCAGATAAAAATCTCGTAGACCTTCTTTGTCTCTGAAGTAGCGTTTGTGATCAGGAGACCTTGGACGCCGACGATAGGCCAATTCTATCTCATCAAATTCCCTTCGAGATTTAGCAGAAGCTGGCCTTTTCTTTAGACTATCTTTATATTGTTTTCTCCTTTTTGCATTACCTTCAATGTTGCCATATGTGACAGTATGTGTGGATATATCAGAAACATCTGACCTAATTAAGTCATCATGTGCACCATAGCGATCACTTTTAAATGAAAACTTTCCATAAAGGTCACCTATTTGGGTTGTTGGGTGTTTAGTAGGCAAGCCTATATCTAAGGGTTTCTTGGATAGTGATCTGGGCTGTGTTGTGAAAGGAGCATTTTCGCAGTCATATAAACCATCAATAGAACTATTACTCCCTAAACTGTGTGGTCTGTGATGATGAAAATGATCTTGGTAGACATTGCTATCTTTAAGCTGAAGATTTCCAAAGGTTCTTTCAACTTCAGAGATGTAGTCACTGAATAGATTCTCCTCAGGCTGAAAAGATTTGCAGTCAGAGTGAGTAAAGCTCCGCCGATGTTCAGAGATATCATATACTGAAGATTCCCGGCGTATGAAGTCTAATGCACTCTGAGGAGACCCATTTACCCCAGAAAGATTAGCCATATTCTTGGCAGTCCGGAGGAGTCGTAGTATATTAGAGTGTGTGTTATTCATTGTAGCTGAAGGGGAGTTCATCGTAGACTGTCTGTCTTCTATAGGGACACCATGAATACAACTGTAAATACCCTAAAGTGAAAAAGAAAAACAGGTTTAGTTTGTAGCATTAACTCATTTATTTAGCATAAACTTACATATATTAATGTATACAGTGGAAAGTCACAGTTTATAGCCTAATACAACAATATGTAGAAAAGTTAAAGAAAAGTATATTAAAATATTAACAAGCTGCAGCACAAGACTTCCTAAGTCTATGTCTTGCAATGGAACTGTGTACTCAAAGTTATATACTGTATTGAATCATAAGGCTAAACTTTTATAGGAATTTCAGGATCAGGACAGTTGGGGCCTGAGGAAAAGGTATGTAAAAGCATTTTAGAGTGCCTCTTTGAACTCTATATATACTTTGTAACTTAAAGAAGAACTCCAGGAAAACTTTTTCTTAACTCTTGCAGTGGGGTTAAATAACAAAGATATACTCACCTGAAGCTCCTAGCCAGCCAGCTGTCGCAGCACTCCCTCCAGCCTGTCTCCTCCTACGCTGCAGCATCCGAATCTTACTCAGCTTCCTCACGTCTATACACTGTGTATAGGACATGATGAATTACGGGACCTTATAAGACCGCTGCAAGGGAGGGAGAGCAAGGCTGAAAGGACCGGTCTAAGAAGAAGCTGGCTTGGAGCATCGGGTGAGTATAAGTAATTTTTTTAACCTAGAGACAAACGATCCCCACTACAAAGGTTAATAATAAAAATTTCCTGGAATTCTTCTTTAAAATATAACTCCACAAAAACACTGTTGTAATGCGCATATGTTTATCGCTTTACCTGCCAAAGAAATTGTAATTCTGTTTAACCAGTCTCCTGATTTATGCTTGTCTGCCCAGACATGTGACATATTTATTTCCTAGTGTGGCAATTAGCATACCTTGTCACCTCCCTTCCTCTAACTTGCTCACTGGGCAAGTAATAAAGCTGCTCATTGCTGCTCAATCAGCAGGAAGGTTATCTGGGAATCAGCTGAACCAGGAATTACTACAATGATCTTTGTGGCTCAGTAATGTGGATGACGTGGGCAAATTACAGCTAAGTAGCTAAAAAAAGTAGTAAGTAGCTAAAAAAATGTACAAATCCTATGGCAGGTTTGCCAGTAAATTTGCTTTAATTAAACAATTACACATTTCATTCTTTTTAGTAAAAGATTGCCTCAGGTCCTGAATTTAGAGTATGTTCATTTCAGTGGGGTTCCACCCCAGCATTCAAATTGGTCTTCTCCTTCTTTTCATTGCATCTTGCCCCCAGTACACATACCTCACTTCCCAGTGTCCATGCAAGCAAGGGGATGCCCCCTCCTGTATATAGAACTTACCAGTTTTCACACCAGCAGGGCATGTGTGTATTATCTATTAGAGGTATGTCTCCAGGGTATGTGTGATAAAGGTAGTGTCACTACTCTAACTAAGTGTGCCTTCTGAACTACAACAGAACATCTGAACTTCCCACAGTCTATCATCATCATTGCTTGCTGGAAGCAATGCATGATGGCATATGTAGCCTTGAGAAATTGAGATTGCATCACATCACACAGCAGGCAAAGCACACTGGGAATCCAGGAAGTTGTTGAAAGTGATGGTTAGATGGAAGGTAGCATGCATTAGGGAATTTTTTCAAGTAAGCTTTGACTGCATTATCAAAAACAACTATAGTGTGTTTTCCTATTACATTATTATTAGTCACAGAGGCAATGAGTAAAAAGAAAACTGACACATACCAATGCTGCTAAATTTGGTCTTGAAATTTAGGCATCGATGACTTCTGCTTACATAAGGGGTTAAAAACCCTGGTGGTTAACCCATCAGATAAAAGTCCCCAGGGGTGAGTCTCCAAAGTGTGTAAGTTAACCCTTCAGAGGTAGGTTTCAAAAGCATGTGTGGTAACACATGTCTACAGCCAATGGGGGGTGTGGTAATCAGTGGCCAGTCTATGGCAAATGTGCCCAATGCCTCAGTCAGCAGCATTAATCCTTCAATGACCAGTCTAGTAAGTGTGTTAAACTCACGGTGTCCATTCTCCAGAGTATGTGCACGGCCCCCTTACAAGGTGCAGTCTCCAGAGTGTGTATGCTAATCTTTAGTGGGTCTTTTGTATGCATTAAAGTGAGACAACTAGATAATCAGGTGAAATACATATTTGTTTACCGTTTTGTCTGCCAAGTGCCTGACAATTTTATTTAGCTGCTTTGATTCACACATATCTGGCACACAGTACAGTGAGGTAGACCATCTGACTTCTTTCTGGTTCAGCTTTATTACTTCCTGGATCACTCCCATGTTCATTGAACAGAAATAACATAGAGTCATGGCCTGGTGAGCAGGCTGGAGAGGAAAAGGCATTGGAAGCTGCATTGCTGAACCAGGAAATACGTAAATCATCTGGTTGTGCGGTGTGGTAGATGTGTGTAAATTGCAAGAATGGCTGTTCACAACTACAAATCCTTTAGCCGCTAAAACGGTAAACCTACATACTTCTTAGATGTGCATGTAGGAGTCTGCCTGGAGTTCTTCTTTAACCCTGTGATAATATGTACTTATAAAAACATTGCATATAAAAACATTGCACACACCCTGTACTGACGATCCCTGCCCCCCACTTTATTGTCCAGCATTATGAAGAAGATAAGTCCAGAGACTCTTGCCCATGTGACTGGTCATATCATTGTCATTGTGCTATGGAGGATCTCTGGCAAGGTGAGGGGAGGCCCCTGTCCACAACTTGCATCCTCCTCCCCACCCACCTTGTCTAAACCTAAAAAGCCTTTCTGGGATAAGGGCCTGGTATGGATTTTGGAGGGACCACACATTGATTTTTACATTTACGGTTTCTATATTTTAGACTGGGGTGCCTCAAGATTTTGCATACGTTTAATGGGTGCCAGGATTGAAAAAAGGTTGAGAAATGCTGCCCTACTATATGTATGTATACTATACTTATGTCCTTGCCCTTACTGGTAACAGTCATCAGCCACTAGGATATTGGCTTATGAGGTTGTTCAAAAAATCCTATACACTGTATTTACTTGTGTTTGCAAATTTTTTTTTACTCAATAGGGTCTTTCAGGAAGATAAAAAAAACACTGAAAGATAAACTCTTGTCAAGAAAAGAACACCACCGCAGAAAACAATTGACTTTTTTTTTCGTAATGCATTTTTCTAATTCCACATTAAAAAGACTCTACAATTAAACCCTAGAAAGCTGCAGTATCTTCAGTCACAATTAATTAAAATTCTGCTGACAACTGCACCTGGAATGCAGAGCTACTGCATGCAGCATGACCTAGTGCTGAGTTTAGGGTACATGGCCCAAAAGTAGAGCTCCAGTTGACAGATAAGTTTATAAAGACATTCACATTTTTACCCACCCTCCTCTACCCTATTTAAAGTGACACTAACGGCCTAAAGTAACCCTGTTTCTGGAACAAAATAAAACAAAGCAAACTATAAAAAAAAAAGGTTTTAGGGCCTGTGTTGACACGCTTTGATGGGCAAATGCAGTGTGCTTTTGACATCAATTTGAGACATCTCTGAGATCAATCAGAATTTATTACATTTGGATTTAACCTTTAGCTGATGTGCATTTGACCCACTTCAAACAGCACTTGTATTCCTATGCACTTGTATGGGGGAGAAGCAGTTCTGAAGTTAAAAAATCCCCAGCAACACAGGCCCTTATACACTTTTGCTAAAGGCAGTGTGTTAAATCTTCACTCTCTGGTCACAACTACTCTCTGGATAGCTTGTCTACTGCTGAGCGATGTGGATGCTCCCACCAGCTGCTACATCAATACTGCATTCACCAAGTGACATAGTGGCTGGTGGGAAGAATCACAGCACCCAATGACTCACATGCTATCTAACACTCCTGGAAGTCTCAGATAGCAAGGGTGCCCAGAGACTGAACATTTAACACACTTCCCACCACAAAGGTAAGTATAAATCTTCTTCTTTTACAGGGTGGATTTGTTATAATATTTTTTTCCCCAGTGATAGGGGAACTTTAAGGCAGACCTACATTTATAAACTCTATGGGGCAGCACTACCACCACTAGATGGTGCTGAGGAGCATAGGATTTTCTATGCTCCTCAGCACCATGTACTGGCGGTAGTGCCATGTGAACTGTAATGGGGTAAGGGTTAGAAATCAACTCCAATGTGTTTAAATTTGTAAAATGTGTACTAAATTATGATAGACTTGGTGGTACGTAATATATTTTAAGTCCAAAATATAGCTGCTCCCACTATATAGTGTTACAGAAAACCTGTACAAGTGCTTATGTATGGACATATGTCTAATACTTGAATGCAATAGTTGGATGCATACCAGCACACATTGTCCAGCTTATCACATTTTGTTTTCAATTTGAAGAATCATTTTAGTATATTTCATTATCTTCATTATAAAATCTACATTAGAAATCCTTTAAGGGACACATCTATTACTGAATGTATTAGATAAAGTGTTACAAAAAGAAATACTCAGTGCTCTGCTTCAAACCTCCATTTGTAGTAATAAGATGAAAACCAACTTTAATACCTTAATACATTATTTTGGCATTAAGTGCACATTAATGACAAGGCTTTTTGCAGCATAAGGCAAGCTGGCCTTTAATGTGTCTTTTCACTTTTTATCCTGTTCATCCTTTAATGTCGTGTTTATGTGAATCACTGATTTAAATTAATATACTAATAGCCTTTTGCAAATGTTTAATATATTAAAATAATCCTAATTAACATAATTCTAAATGTACCAAATTGGATGGGCTAGACCCAACTTCCATCTTTTTGTCCTTGAAGGTTACTTCGGCAGAAAAGGCCTGTTATTAAACATCAAAAACTCGTGGTAAAGCTCATATTCTATATCTTGAATGATTTAGGATTTATTGGTCAAGGAATATACTGTATTTGTTTTATAAATGCTAGACTAGCTCTGGTTATACATTTAGTACAATAAATATCAATACAAGCTGGCACAGAGTCACTGTACATAGGAAAAAAGGCCAGCTGATCCTAAAT